TGTGATGGCGTAGCTCGTTCTCTGTGGTCAGATTCATTTAAGATTGTAGAACTGACTGAAATAGTTCGTCAAAAAGATTCAGTGTTTTCCCAGCTACTAAACCGGTTGAGGACTCGTTCCAAAGGAGTACCCATGTTAGCGGAAGATGTCCAAATTTTAAAACAATGTGAAACGGGGGAGCAAAGCTCAGCTTTACATATATTTGCAACAAATAATCAAGTAAATGACTACAATATGTCTCAATTACTTGAAAACTGTCCTGATTTTGTGTCAATCGCGGCACAAGATTATGTGAATGATAAAAAAACAGGAAAACTCAAATTGCTAGAAGGCAGTCACATAAAAGCCTCAAATACTTGTTTGACGGAACTGTTGCTATTGGGTAAGAGTGCACGTGTTATGTTGTGTAAGAATGTGGACGTGAGTGATGGGTTGGTCAATGGTGTATGTGGTACTGTAACCGAGATTATAATGAAAGAAACGAAAAAATTCCCTGAAAAGGTTTTTGTTCGTTTTGATGATGATTTCATCGGTTTACAAAGGAGGAAAAACTGTAAGTGCATGTTGTCAAATTTGGTTGGTTCAACACCTATTGAACCAGAGGAAGAAAGAGCCACTGTTAAAGGTGGATTGCGACGTCAGTTTCCTCTCAAATTAGCATGGGCGTGCACTATCCATAAAGTACAAGGAATAACTGTTGACAAGGCCGTGGTATGTCTCAGTAAAATCTTTGCACCTGGTCAAGCTTATGTGGCACTAAGTCGTGTTAAAAGTATTTCAGGATTGACGATTCATAAATTTGATGACAAAAAAATTTATTGTAAGGATGACATAACGGTTGCAGTTCAGCAAATGTCACCCCTGTTGACTGAACCTAGACAAGTGGATAGATATGATACATCTTGTTTCACTGTGTTTCTAATGAATGTGCAAAGTTTGAATCGCCATGTTCAAGATTTGGCATTTTGTACACAGCATTTAAAACCAAAGTGTATTGCTGTAACAGAAACCTGGGTGTCAACTGTCTCATCAGATACATTAAAGATTGATGGATACAGTTTTCAGAACTGTCCACGACGTTTAGCGTATTCTGGCAAGGAGGCAGCATTGATATCATTACAAGATCAAGAACATGGTGGTGTTGGCATCTACAATGCAGATGGTTTAGCATATGATTTTTTGCAGTCACCACATGTTGATTTAGAATGTGCAGTGTGCAATTTTCAAAGTTTGAACATACTTGTGGTGGTTGTTTATCGCCCACCCCAGTATCCTCTGTCAATTTTTAAGAAAAATCTAAGTATATTGCTTGATTGGCTTGAACAAAAAAGTAATACAATAGGATTAATGGGTGATTTCAATGAAGATCTTTTTAAAGGCTCATCTATTTCTAACTTACTAAGTAACAGAGGATATGTTCAAATAGTTAAAGAATCAACCACAGAGAAAGGTACTTTAATAGATCATGTGTACCTAAGATCAAATGCCTATGAAAT